GAAAGCAAAAATGTTTTTTTCTAAAATAAACCAAAAATAAAATCTTGAATATAAAAATTAACCTCCAGGAATCATTTAATGTGTTTCAAAAAAATGATAAAAGAGACAACTATTTACTTGCGCTTTAATTAGAAGTTACCCACTAATAACTTTTTGTCGCATTAAATTAAACAGACTGGTTTTTGCAATTTATATATAAAAGTGATTCAAAAGATACAAAGTTTCTGGATTTTCATAGACTGCAAAATAGATAACTTAGTGTGAGCTCATATTACCCAGATGCTCATATTACCCTTATCTACCCTATTCTGAATAATGTTGACACATTAAGGTTATTTACAAATAGTAATAAGTTGTAATATGAAATAAACAACAGTAAAATTTAATAATAATAAAATGATGCTAATATTATAAGCATCATTTTATTATTATTGAAGTATTATTAATAATAATTATAATGCAAGTAGGAGTAAATAAAAATAATGATAATAACAACAACAGTAATTTTACAAAAACAGAAATAAAAAAAAAATTATGACAGTATTAACAACAGTAAGAATCATATTATTAATAATGATAAAAGTATAGTAATAATAATTTTATCAACTATAGTGATGAAGAGAAAATACTTAAGTTTAAGAAAGATTAAAATAATAAATAACTGGTTATTTATATTTCATAAATTTAACTATTTTTTAAAAAAAACATTGCTTTTAAGTCTTATACTGTTCATCAACTTATTAATTATTACCCTAACTCTGAGCCTCTATTTGTCTATATTTTCTCTTCTTTTTTGTTGTGTTTTAATATTTTTTTTTTAACAAAAAATATTAAATCACAATAGAAAAGAAAAAAATTAGATAAATAGAAATCGATTGAAATTAAAGTTTACCAAGAAATGTACACTTAATTAAAATGAATGAATTTGTATTAGGGTTGTTAACTGGAGGATTTCGTGCAATTCCGGAAATACAACATTCTTTCGTAAGGAGATTGAGAACGAGGAAATACATTTTTTCGTACCGAATGTTACAAAATATTTAAAATCGCCAATGTTCATTTCGCAAAAGCTACTTCCAAAATTTAGCATTTCGCAAGTTCACATACGCAACAAAACTATTTTGCAACATACGAAAGTAGCGGTTTCGGAAGTCGCACTTGCGAAACAAACATTTTCGCCAAACGACGTTTTGAAGTCTATAAAGAAAATTTGTTTGCCAGACTGATTTTAATTGTTAAAATTAACATCTTTAAATCCCAAAATGTTTATAATGAATTTTTATTTTCAGTATATTAACATATTTAATTTTTATGGTTTTATTTTTAGAAATATTGATAAAAAACAAAATTTCTTTCGAAACGAAAGTATTTTGCATCACAACATACGAAAGAGTTCTTAACGGAAATAAACTTACGAAACGTGCCATAATAAATATATATAACGATGTTTTTTGAACTCATTACGTATAGTAAAAATAAGAATGATGGGTAGGAATATACATGTTTTTTTTTTCTGATAAAATATACCTATTTCAATAATTATAATAAAATATAAGAATAATAAAAAATTGACTTATGCTCTGTATTTTTGTTTTGGTTTGCAGCTGCAGCTGAATTTATGTTGTTATAATGCAGCTAAATTTATGTTGTTATAATTTTCGGTTTTTGTTGGTTTAAATTTAGTAACATTTATATTTAAAATTTTTGGTTAAATAAAAATAAAATTTTTTAAATGGTCTATCAAGGCTCAAGAATATGCTTACATATGCTTTTTTTTATTTCCAAATCTGAGTCTATAAGCGTTATGCTTATAAAAAAAAAACGAGTATATTCATTAGGATTCCGTTATCTCGGTCCCTGGATAAGTAGGACTTTGGGGCTATCTATAAATGGTGTCAGTAAATATAAGGGGGGAAGGGGTACTGAAAAGTTTGACAAGAATTGACAATGGGGAGGGGGTGTTGAGACCAACATGATGTCCATTTAAGAAAAAAAAATTTAAGTTCGAGATTCGAGCAGATTTTAAAGGTATGTAGAGTCCTGTTTGAATACGCTTTTTGAAGTGTAGATCTTAGAAAATATTGCTTTTTAATTTTAATAAGATATAAATTTAAATTTAAGATTGTATAGCTCTATCATTTAGATACGTGATAATTCGCCGCAGAGATCCGGGTTCGCATCCCGCTGCCATCGCGACTTTTATTCATCAAACTTTTTTTACTTAAGATAGCATTTTTTGACCTCCATGTTCTATATTACAGATCTCTCGTCACCTTCATAATAGTGACAACCTCTATTCTGTTAGTTATTCTTTTAAGATTGAGTACATTGTGCTTAATTCTACGCGCTTCCCTTGCTTTACTAAGTTTTACTTAAATTATGATGAAATGTACGTAAAACAACTTTTTCAAATAATATAAATCATTTTGCTTTAAATCTTGTGCTTTTTGTATTAGACATCTGTCCGAAACACTTTGTAATAATTTTTAGCGTTTTTTGAGTCTAATACAATCATTTCTGAATATAATTTCCCTGAGGCTCCTACAGCCTATTGTGTTCCATTAAAAGTAACTAGTTTTCAAGTCCAGTTATGAATTATAAGAAACTAAAGGTTCACATTACTATTCATTTTCCTGATTTATAGAACCCTATTTGCATACGTATCTCTTTCTGTAAATTCTGTTTTTTATAGTTTCTTAATTATGTAATAAATAAATATTACTATTCACTTAGTTGAATGAACGTTTAGGACATTCAGTTAAGAATAACATTTAGCCGCGGAGACCGAGGTTCATATCCCGCTGTATGACATATGTTTCTTCTCTTTTTACTCTTTCTTGATATCATTTACCTTTAAAGAGATCTCTCATTCTTTATAATAAATTATTTAATTGTTTATCACACATCCTCTTTATACTTTCTAAAACGAAAGGCATACTGTTTATCTGTTCATTGAGAGGTAAACTTAACGGTATATATATGTATATATATGTATACATATATATATGTATATATATACATATATATATATATATATATATATATATATATATATATATATATATATATATATATATATATATATATATATATATATATATATATATATATATATATATACATATATATATATATATATATATATATATATATATATATATATATATATATATATATATATATATATATATATATATATATATATATATATATATATATGTATATATGTATATATATATATTAGGTATATTTGTATAAACATTTGAAGAATCATTTGACACATTTTTTTATAATTTTATTAATTATTATTTAAACTGTTAAGAGTTAATATCTTAAATATATCGTAACATAAAATCTTTTGCGTCTTTTTCGTAACTGCACATTCCGGAATGCTCCTTCCGTTAGGAACTATTTCGAAAGTATTCTTACGAAATGATTTGTGTCGCAAGTTTTCTTTCGCAATGCTTTATTACGGAATTTTATTTATTTATATTTTCGTATAGTGCTTTACGGAATGTGCATTTTCGCATGTGCAACTTCCGCAATAACAATTCTATTACGATCGATAAAGATGCGAAATTTTCGCAAGTTTTGTTTTTCGGCGAACAACCCTAATTTGTATTCAGTTTTCAACTCAAGATAAGTACTTTGAAAAGTTCTAAACCACAGGTTTCTACAACTAAATATTCATATCTCTGGATCTTCAACAAAAATTTCAGTAGGTCGCTTCTTCGGAACATTTATCGGCTAAAGAAATTCAGCGACGGTAATTTAAAACATTGAAACATATCATTTTTGCCGATAAATTTAAAGCTTGTAGCATTTTACGCAGATAAAAAGTTTTATAACATTGACCCCAGCAGTTATAATTTTTTTTTTGGTTTGAAATATTACTGCTATTTCTTAAAAACAAAACAATATGTGTCAGTAAAAAGAGTAACTGATTGTGGTTCTTAAGTTGCGGATTTGCTTAAAGTAGTTTTTACAATGTTGCAAAATTGTTACTATATATTTACAATTATTGTATGTAGATAATTACTATCTATTTACTATTATCAATTGGTATTGAATTATCAAGATAATAATTATTTATTTTCATTTTTTAATTTTTTGTAGTTGTAAAAACCGCATCGAGTATTTTTACCATTTCAACAAATAACGCGAGTAATCGCAACTATTGTGCAACTTGTACGAACATGTTTCGATGCAAGTCGACACGGGTTATTGTACTCCAATTAAAGTAAAAATTTATTTTCGAGTGTTTTAAAAGCAAATAAACGAAAGTAAGACCTATGTATTAGAAAATAAAAACACTCAAATATATATATATATATATATATATATATATATATATATATATATATATATATATATATATATATATATATATATATATATATATATATATATATATATATATATAATATATATATATATATATATATATATATATATATATATATATATATATATATATATATATATATATATATATATATATATATATATATATATATATATATATATATATATATATATATATCCTTTTATATTTGTATATATATAACAGAAAATCTTTCGTTAAAAACTTCAAAACTTTGTATTTACAATTGTAAAAGAAAATAAAGTGCAATTAAAAAAGTTTTTACTAAAAAATAAATAACAACTAAACTATTTCGGAAAAATGATTGGATTATTAATTAAGTGACAAGTATGTTTCTTTTAAAATTTATTATATTAAATGCACTTTGTAACTTTTTGACCTTATTTATGTCTTGTTGTTTAATATGCGTTGTTATTCGTTTAATTTTTTAACCCTACTTTATTTATGCTATATTTCTAATTTTGGATTTGGCATCGAACAAATCTATATTAAAATTCAAAGAAAGCATATACATAAGTGTATATAATATGTTATTATATTTACGATAAAATTTTATTTTAGAAAATAAAACTATCTGTAGAAAATTGTTAATTATTTTTTAATGGTCATTTTAAAGCTTCGTTTTCCAAACGAAAATGGACAAAAAGCTGGAAGCTTGATATACGCATCAAACCATTACATTAATGAGGTTTTAATTTTCATTTAATTTAGACTACCAGTTTTTCTAGTAAATTATACTTCGCCAACATTGTTTTAATTTTTTACATCATTTACAGAGTACCGAAATAAAAGAAACAAATTTGAATTCAGCTCAAGATTTATTGTCAAATGAGAATCCGTTAGATGATACTGAAATTATAACGCCCGATGATTTACTTAGTTTTGCATGGCAAGTGGCATCCGGAATGGTATATATGATTTTTTAAGAATTGAAGTAAAAATACTTTTATTGTGAATTACTATCTTGAAAATGGGCACATGTCACAATAGGTAAAGAAACTAAAAAAACTGTATATTAATCAAACAAAATAATGTTCCACTTATATGATGATTGTTTTTATTTATAGTGTTGTGTCTTATGTATTGTGTACTAAAGAAAAAGTTTCGTTTAAACATCTTTTATAGAAATACTTTATGTTAATATAAAAATCTCCATTTTGAAAAAAAAGGGTGACGTGACCTCTTTTTCAAGTTAGCGATTCATATTTAATATAGTATTCCTAAAACATGGTTTATTAAACCCCTAATCCCAGCTGGCACACTTACTTTGGGACAACATATCTAAATACATTGCAAAAGTTTGTTGTTTTTCCGATCTAAATCCAGCGTTGATCCGATTTATAGAAATCAACGTTAATCTAATGAATTTTGATTAACATAGATCAGATGTTTATAACGTAACGTTAATCCAGTCTGTAGAATATTGTTGATTAACAACATTAAACCAACGTTGATCCGTATACACCGGAACAACGTTGGATTTTGTACAGTTGATCAGTGTTGTGTTTGCATCAAGAAAAGACAGATATACAAATATATATATTTTTGTAAATTATAAGAATTATTTTTCATTCAAATAAATTAGTTGATTAAAAAAATTTATTTTGCAATATATTATTCTCTTTTTTAATTAAAGTCTTGAACATTTTGGTTTTGATAAGACATTTTTAAATCAGATAAACATAATTTATAATAGAATAAACGCTATGGTAAAAATAAACGGAGAACTTTTGCAAGAAATTTTGAGAGGAGTAAGACAAGATTGTCTCTTATCCATAGTTTTATACATCATACATTATACATTATAGAGCGACAAGTTCTAAAATTAATTTAGCAAAATGTCAAGGCATTTGGTAGGGAAAAATAGATTCACAGAAAAGAAAAAGTTTCTAGACTTTATCTGGGACAAAAAGTCATTTTAAAGTCTCGGTGTACTTTTTTGCAGAACTATAAAGAACCCTTTAATCAAATAGAAAGTACTTTAAAGAAATGGGAAAAATATAAATTATCCCTTAAAGGCAAAAAACTAATAATTAATACAATAGTAATCCCTCAAGTTGTACACTTAGTTTTTATTGTTCGTTTTCCCCATAAAAATATTTTATCTAGAATGGAGGCTAAAATAAACAACTTTTTCTGGGGTGATAAAGTTCTAAGATAAAGCAAGAAAAAACACAGTAGAAAATAAAAAACGGAGGGGTAGGAGTGGTTAACCATACAAGCAAACTCAAAGCAATACAAATGCATTCGGTTTTAAAAGTTTATAATGAAAACTTAGAAGGTCCATTAAAAGAAGCCATAATCCAATACTCAGTTCTTATAGAAAATTAAATCTAAATAAATTCATTTTCAAAACAACGCTAACCCAAATTAAGGTTCTACCGCCCTTTTATAGATAACTATTATTGAACTTTTGTAAATTTAAACAAGATGACAGGGTGCCCGTAGTTGAAACAGAGGAGAAACTAAATCTGCCACTTTTTTTAAATAACAGCATTAAAATTAATACATATAAAAGTTTGAACCCAGAAAAGGTACATATTAAAAATGATATTGTTCTTGTAGTAGACATAACAGAAACTTTTCAGACTGGATTTTTAAATCCTTTTATTAATTGGTTTGACCGAGATCGAAATGAGCAATATTATAATTGTACTCCCGAAAAATTGGATAGATAAAATTTTAAATAAAGGATACAATAGTATGATTTTAAACAAGCACTTTTTTATATACTAGAGAACCAAAAAAAATATAAATACAAAAGGCTCATACTCTCAACACTTAATAAAATTCAAAACAAACCAAAAAAAGTTTGCTTATGAGTTTAATCGATGGGTATTTAAAGGTTGTCAAAGTATGCAAACATTCAGTGAAAACGAATGTAAGTCTTTTTTCCTAATTAATAAGAAAAGAAGCACAAATAACAAATAATTTTTTATATTGTACATTTCTATTACTAACTAATGAAAACAGTCTTATTAGAAAATTAACAAATGACAAATTATGTCCGAACTGAAGACGAAATTTTCTATCATATGATGAAAAAATGCAAAAATGTGCAGCTTCTAATTTTGTTTTATTTAGATGTTTTGGATCAAGTTTATCCAACGGAACATTTTCATTTTAATACTTTAAAATTTATTTTGTTTATTTACGGGGTCAACGTGGGCAACAAAGAATTTAGCTATATTTTACTGAAAACTCTTGTGTTAAAATTATATTTTGATAGAATGAAAAATTTTTTCAAAAAAAAATGTTAAAGTGTTAAGCTTTTACTTAAAAAAATTTGAATTTAAAGTTAAACGCTTGCTTGAAAACTAAAGGTTATTAATAATTAACAAAAAAAACGAAACAAATAAAAAAACGAGTTTTAAACCTACTTGCTGATATACATAACTATTTTAAATGATTTTTTTTTTAATATTTGTTTTAGTTTTTTATTCAATAGTCTCTTATTGTATTTTTTAACTAATATATTTTTATTTACTATATATAGGTCAAAAAGATTTTTTTGTAAACCAGGTCTTATTCATTTATGTTTTAAAAAGAAAAGCATAATGAAAAAACGAGTATGAGCCATAAAATTAAAAATAATTATTAATAGAATAAGTTTTAAAACTTTTTGCTAACACATGGAAAATTCTAAAATAGTTGATACATGTATGTAAAGTGGTTGATTTATGTATATATAAGGACATATATACAATTATATGCGAACAAAAATTTAATTTGTAATATCTATATTAAAAAACTAAAATATAAAAACAAGTAAATTTAGTTCCAAAAAATTTAAAGACAACGTTTTGCCAACGAATATAAAACGTTGGCCCAATGCGCAACGTTGTTCTAACGTTCTAATGTAAATGTGCGAGCTGGGATTCTTTGCAACACTTTGGTGTTATTAATCGCCTTTTTGTGTTACATTTTTGTGTTGTTTAAAGTTTTTATAACTATAAACAAAAAGATTTTATTTCCTTATTTTAATTTTTAACTAAAAAGTCAGATTTTTTCCTTTTTTCCTCACTTTAAAGTTAAACGTAAACAATTTATGTTCCTAAAAAAATTAAAATAAAGCTAAAACTTGGTACAGAGACTCAAAACATTTGGTAAATCTTGATTTCAAGATTTACCAAACAAAAACTCCCGATTTTAGTTTATAGGAAACTGTATACCCAGTGGGCATTTCGACGTCGAACGAACGTCGAGCGACGTCGGATCTCGACGTCGGATCGACGTTGGGTTTACGTTGGAAATGGAAATGTTATTTGACGTCGGATAAACTGACATCGCGCGACGTCGGCATTCCGATGTAAATCCAATGTGTTATTTGAAAACTAAAAAACGCTGCCTTTGGCAGGAATCGTACCTCGGTCTATTAGTTACTAAATCCCATTCGCTTACCACTACACCACAAGGACATGTTAATTAATGAGTTTATTTAGTAACTTATACTTGTAGCTATTTGGGAATTATTACTTTGATAAGAAATAATTTTGTTTAAATATTATATAAATATTAAAACGAATAGTTATATATTACAAAAAATGCATACTCGAAAATGTTAATAGTTAAAAAACTATGCTAGTGCATCATACAAAACCTCATGATGTTTTATCAACCTTTATTCAAACTTTTTTCCATTAACAAAAAAATACGCTTAGTTCACATAATTATTGAAGAGCGCAATTGCACACATATTGTTGGGTTTGGATTAAATTTTCATTAGCGATGTCTTACGACGTTGTTCCGACGTCGTTTTAAGGACGTTGGATTGACGTCGGAAGACGTCAAAAGACATCGGAGTACGTTAATATTATGACGTTGCCCGACGTCTTTTTATCGACGTTGGATCGATGTCAGTACTGCGACGTTTTTTGGACGTCTTTTATAAGATGTCGGAACAACGTCAAAATACATCGAAACGACGTCAGTGGATGTTTAGATAAAGACATCGCCCGACGTCATTTTACTGACATCGGAACAACGTCGGAATAGATCTTTTGACATCGCTGATGAAAATCAAACGTAAATCCGACGTCGGATTGACGTCGGGTGCCCACTGGGTAACTGGGCATAAAAAAGGAACATATTAAAATAATTAGTTACATGAATAATTCTAGTTTCATACACCATTGAAAATATTATTTAATTCATAATTTAATAACTATTATTTATTTATCCTAAATTATTATTTGTTTCCTAATAACTGTTAAATAAATAATATGCAGTAAAGCTAGTTTTTTTTTTAGCAATCTAGGAGAATGTTTGCACTCATTTAGTGTTAAATCATTCAATTCGATAAAACTTGATTGTTATATCTAAAGAAAAATACTTATTAGAGAGTTAATATTTTTAATATTTCAAATTTAATATTGTTAAAATTTTTTGTAAATAGTTATTGTTTCAAATAAATTGCTTATACCTACTGAGAGATTAAAGAATGTTCGTATGAATGTGTGTGTCATGTATTATGTATGGTTGTGTATAACAAGTAGAGTTTTCAACTTAAAAATAAAACAATATCACTCATTCAAATCTATATAATAATAATAATGTTAACTATACATATAAAAAATATGTGAGTCACTTAACTTTAGTTGCGTTACTTTAAAAGTAAAATGGAAAATACTAACAGTAATTTGAAATTTGTGATGTAACAAAATAATAGCAATTCAATTTTTATTTAGAATTGCCCTTCTCATGTTCCTCGAGTTTATTTTTATAAGTTTTTAAATTAATAGAGTTAACAACGTCATAGGTTAGACTGTTCCATTTATTAACAATCCTAATGGTAAAGTAATGCGTTTTTGCTTACGATATATGAACATTTTGTTCGTGCAACCGTTTATTATGACTTCTTAATTTGGATAAAAGTTGTTTATTGGAGGGTACTTCCAATTCACTTTAT